CTTAAACTCTTAAGGCTGGCCCGAAATTACGCATACTAGGAGTCATATGGTCCCCCAGTGTTCGCTAATCCAAGAGGATCGACTCCGGCTGAGCTAAAAATAGCGAAAGCTGAATTTGACCGCATGCTCCCGCTGGAGGTTATTCCATCTTCGAATAGTCAATGAGCTTCACCGTTACGCATTGTGTCTAAGAAAAATCGGACTGATTGGCAGCCTCGTGGTGGTTAGACAGGCGTAAATTCACCGACTGTGACTGGCAGATACCCATTACCACACATTCAAGACCTTACTAATAGTCAGTGGGGCACCACATTATTTACTAAAACTGACTTGTTTTGTGCCTACCATATTCCGGTGTCTAGCAGCCTACCTAGATGTTAAACATATTCGCCACATGTTAGACGCCAAACCGTTCGCGATCTACACAGATCACAAGCCTCTCGCTTACGCGCTAAACAAACAGACAGACAAACAATTCCCTTGCGAAACTCGCCACTTTGACTTTATATCACAGTTTACCAGTGACAAAAGACACGTGAAGAGGACGGAGAACTACGTAGCTGATGTACTATTCAGAATTCACGTGAATAAAGCGTAGCAAACTACTGTAGACTTCAAAGAACTGGCTAATAATCAGAATAACAACGAGGAGCTACGGCATATCGCTGCTACAAATAAGTCTTACGGCCTGCATTCAGACCTTGGTCGTTTGATCAGATGATACCAACGGCCTACAACTAGTGAGGGGGCCTAAAAATTTGATAAGTACTCGTTTTGCTGCACATCGGTGTACAGTTTCCCATGCTAAAAGTGAATGGAAAGCACTTATATGAGCAACAATAGCCAAAAGTAATTTTCTGTTTAAGGTTCGACATTTCATATAATATTGCCTTTATCAGCATTTGAAAGTTCATTTCTTCAAAGGCCATCAACTGCCATTCGATGACAGTGTGGCTATACTCTCTTAAACACCTTGTGCTATTTATAAATATATCTTTGACAGATTTATTTAACACTGAATAAAGTGACAACATAGGACAACACACGGGTACTTATGGGCCGATCGACCGTATTGTTTTCATCACGAAAAAATCTATTGTCTCGTATTTTTTACATGATACAGGCTCGCTGAGAATAGTAAGCAGGCAGTAAATGAAGTCGCACAGGCTCATTACCTATTGAAAATGCCGGACACATTCTTCACATTCATATGAAGTCCTTAGACTTTGGTATCGAATTATGTCATTGAATTCTACAAGTAAGTTAACAGGCACAACATTCACTTCATGTGCCATAATCGGCTGTGCTGTCATTTATTTGGTCAAACGACTAAAATGCCCCAAGAAAATAACGGCAGAAGGAAATAGCCAACAACGTTCGTAAAATCCGCCACCATAATTTCAAAGGCGATATCAAACAACAAATCACAAACATCACTGACAGATGTTTATCTCACTCGCGGGGACATAAATAAAAATTCGTCGAAGGCTATCAATAACTCTAGTCTCAAACTCAGACAATTACCATCTCCCTTCCATGGAAACTTGATATACCCCCAAACTATAGTACATTCACCCAGGCCCTTCGTCCCTAAAATTATGAGGAGAGCGACAGTTGGTAATTCTCACTAGTTGTCGCACCCTGGACCGAAGATCTCAGCCAAAATAATCTTGCCAAGGTACATTTGGCCAAACCTATACTGTCACGTGCAGAAGTTGGCGAGGTGGTGTGTATCATGTCAGCGGCAGAAAGTAAGAAGACACACAAAAGCACCCTTAGGAACATTCTCGCAGCCGGATACTCGCTTCGCCCCTATCACTCTCGAACAGTTTCACTTATACACATGCACCAATGGGTTTATCAGGCCCTCGCATGCTTCACCACTTACCAATATTACTGAGCAAACGGTAGAGAAAGCCCTCCCTCAACACTCGATAGCCATTTTCTCAGTGCTTGCAGCAACAACGACTGAGAGAGGAGCTAGATTTGAGTCAGAGCTTTCCAAGAGGTTTTCGGAGTTCCTCGAGTCACACAGAGTCTGCCGCATGGCACATCATGCTCAATCCAATGTGGTGATAGAAGGCTTTCGTTGACAGCTGAAGGCCGCATTGACACCCCACTCTAAGCCTACTCACTGGATGGAATTCCCACCAGCCGTGATGCTTGGTATCCGAACATCAGTCAGAAGTGGTGTTCAATGTTCGTCTGCGGAAATGGTATTCGGAACCACTCTGGGACCATATGGAGAGTTTATTACTCCTAGGTCTGATACGAACAAACCTGACCAGACCACATACGTTGACAGACTTAGACCATACGTGGCTAACTTTAGGCCAGTTCCCTCAGAGAAAGAATCGAGAGCTGTATGCATACACAAGGACTTGGATTCGTGCTCTCATATATGGATGAGATGCAACCGCCCCTTAGTTCACCACACGAAAGACCATTCGAAGATACGGCAAAGCACCTGAAACGCTTAGTTATTCAACGAGGTAACACCACATACAGTGTTAGCATTGGGACGATAAAAACCGCTTTATGGGGGCACTGATTCTCGCAGATAGTGATAGAAATCTGCCAGAAGTAGTAGCCGACAGCTCAGTCACTAATGCGAAAACTATTAAGAGTGGTAAGCGCTTTGAAGCGGTTGAACAATTAACTAGTGAAAAATTTCTAGAGAGACTATGGGACAAACAATCACTGAACTAAATAAAACTAAATGTACAAATTAAATCGGAATCTCTTCGGGAACATCCCTTTTTCAAAACAATGGCCAATAAGGAAGGTAATCATAAAGTAGCTTTTTGCCTTCTTCAAAGAGCAGCTTTTATGTATCTCATCCTGGTTAAGTGTTGGTTTAAAGGTGGAAACCGCACTTCTTAATAAGTAAAATAATAGTAAGCCCAATGAACAGGAGAAGCAGAAATAGAGACGTCACTGCACGGGCGAGTGAATCCATTCTCCTTACAAACGAATCAAGCCCCAGTGAGCATTAAATCAAGTTACACTATTCCTCTCTTTAGTCAAGTCTGTTTCAAAGTATGCTTAAAATACCAACGCAAATTACATGGCACCAAAGATTACGTAGGTAAAACCTGGTGCATGGAATTCGAGGCGAGTTTATACGTGTGCTATTAATAATGTGCCACATTATTTTCAGCTTGTCGTTCTATACACGAAAGCTTTTAACTACCACTGATTCAATTGGTTCTTTTGCGAAATACAAGTCGGCTCCTTATGCATTCGTCGACAGTTGCAAAAGATTCAGGTGTAAGTTACAAATCAATCTAACAAGATGATGTAAACGCACGTAGTCATCAACTTACGTCGTAACAACATGAAAATTATTGCGATACAAGTAGTACATTGCTACACTGAAATAAGCGACTACTTGACTATACAGACACCATACACCTTACACCATACGCCTTAGTTATCATAGCCACGAAATATCTAAGTATCTTGTTTGTTTTTTGGACATGTTTGTTGACCTGATATTATGGAACACGCCTAGCCTGGTTATATATTCCTATCACAAACGGTATATTGTCGAAATGCCCTAAAAGAAGGAAAGGCCTTGTACTTATATTTTTTATTTAAACATAAGCGCAGCCCGATTGGTAATTTGTCGTGAGTTTCACGTCATAAATTGTTTACTGTTTGCAAAGGATCCACTAATTGATGTATATCCTTCGAGTTGATGAAAAGATTTTGTATAACGTAGTGTTCGTTCTTCGAGTACCAAATGGTAAAGCAAAAGACCAGATTTTGTCATCCAAAGTAACGTGATTAGCTATTGAAATGGATTCCTTCAAAAACACGGAGAACCATATGAATCTAAGCAATAAGAGAGATCAATTCTCTGGAATGGTTGTATGGTTTTACCGCCTTGTGATCACATTCTCAAAATTTGTTTAAGACGTTCACCATTCATGGTCAGGTTGTTGTGTGCATACTTTTGAAGTAACGAGGTAGGGAGGGCAGTATAACTTTTTCGTATTTGCGACCCCAGTCTAGCTAGTATTCCGTTAAAACTACTTCTACATATTTGGGTGTCTCGGCTTTAAGCAAGAGCTTACCTTTTTGGCGTGTTTAGTCCTTCAGAAACATCTATTATAACCTGTAAAGTTAGGGTTACTCAGACATGCACCTAGCTCGATTTATCAGATGACCACAATCTGTTGACCCATTTAGAGAATTTCAGCGAGCATTTTCTTTTGGCACACTGCAGAAATTTCGGGGCATAATCCCTGCGTGCATTGCAGAAAGTGAGACAGTTGAATGCAGTCTGCCCCAAAGTTCTGTAGTGCGCCCCAAGTCAGTGCTATTTGCGAAGTGTATAAATCTGTTTATCACTCTCTCTCACTGACAGCAGAGTGATCTAAATTCTGCTCACCTGGATCTACGACTCAGAAATTTTTCGGTTCAGTATTTTACCTGGCATAATGCGCTGATTCTGTCGTCTTTAGACGCAGTCCATTTTTCTTATGGTTTGATCTATTTTAATATGACTTGTTTTTTAGTGTCTAACAGTTCAACTGACCTTTCCACTTTTGTACCCTTTAGAATTAAACATACTGATGTGTTTGACAAGATCATTGTTATTGTGAATTCAATATGGTCTCTTGTTCCTTTTCTGGTTTTGTGTACTGATAGTGTGAGATCAATGCATATTGGGATCTACCAGTTATTTTTTGGATAATGTATGTAGTCCTCAGATTGGTAGAGGACATCATTTGGAAAGTACAGGCTATAAATTTGAAGGCAGATACATTGGACCAGCTTTTTAGTCTGTCTCCATTTGGATTTAGGCTTTTCATAATAAGATGATTGCATTGTACTATATTCAGCCCTATCCTTCGTTTAGGCTGTGAGACGTGGTCGTTGAAAGTCGAATTTACGAAGTGATTAGCCGTTTTAATCAGGTTCTGCGTTTGTCTCGTATTCAATGGCATAATGTCATTATTAATGATAAGCATAGGTGTAGTGCTAAGTAGTGAAAGAAATTTAGTCGATGAGGTTGTGAGGTGGTTATGGAATGTTACACACACTTAGCAGTCACATTCCTATATGATTAGGTTGGAAAAGAATTTAGGTGGAGAGGCGAAAACATGTCACCAGGTTATGAAGCCTCTAACTTTTCGTTTGTCCCGCATACGTGTGGATTCTCTGGCTGGTGGACATCGGCTGCCAAGAATCAAATATCGGGAGCTGGTGGTGACACGACTGAAAATCTCTTTGAACCCTTACGGTCTTCCAGAATCATTAATTCCTCATTATCCTCTTTCCTGCACATTTTCTTGAGTTTAATTTTAATTTCGTATTTTCCAGTATGTTTATATACTCATTCTCTTTGTCAACATCCCATTTTTGTTTAGGTATTTTACTGCTCTGCATTTCTTTGTCACAGTTACCTAGTTTTTTAACGTTATTGTTCTTCCTGTTTTGCTTCAATGCAACACATCTCAAACGAATATTTATGTCCTCAATTTCCATATTTTGTCGTATTCATTCAAATTATTATTATTATTATGGACTGTTTGTAGTTCGACATTCAGTTGTTTATTTTGTTACTAGTGTGAATCTTACTACACTTGTTTTGTTAACTAGGGAAAGTTGGGTATCACCAGCTTTCACAAAAGGTGGACTCTTTACAAAGTGCATGCATGTGGATAATGGCCAAATAACTGCTACTGCTATAATAACAGCAACATTATTTAGATAATATTCAGTACAGTTACAAGATTATATAACTTGTACTTAACTGATTAGTACGGGCTGGTTAACTGTTGAAAATTTCAGAAACTGTGGCTGAATTTAGTTTTCACTTGTGTCGTATATGGCGTAGGCTTTTTTTCATCCTCCAGCTTAGTAATCTAACAAAATTATTCTTCCTAACATTCTTATCGTTAGCAGAAAGCGAAACATTGAAAGGTTTTAGAAGGCTATGTAAATGCGTGATGCAACAAGCTCCCTGACAGTCAAACTGAGTCGGGTAGGGAGATGCAGACTTCCGGGTTGGGGCCCTCGGGACTCTAAGAATCAATGGCTGGAGACAATAGGTGACATGGCTCAAAATCGTTGTCAATGGCGCAGATGTATTCAGTCTCTGTAATCTTTCATATTCCTTTCTACCATTACTCACTCTGTTTCACTCTTATACTTGTCAAAACTCTATTGATTCTCTTCACTCATTTTCTTGTCTACCTTTGTGTGCTATTTGGAACGTGGCAACTGGAACTGCTGCACTTCGGTGCCAAGTTCTATGTTGAATCCAGTCAGCCAGTGTGATGCTGAAATTGTTGACCACAGTCATGTTTGATGTATCCACTCAAAGAGTTTCACTGTAGAGTAGTTTTCGAAAGTTGCGTGAAATAGGGACTTATTATTTATTTGTTTGTTTTGCTACAATTTTTTTTACTGTATTGGCATGAATAAACCAGCAACATGGTGTAAATATGAGAGATGAGTGCTGTTAAAATGTTGGCACTGAGGTAGGTAGTTTTTCAAAGTAAATGTCTTGCAAGCTCAGTGCTTTGAATTTAATCCACTTGGAGGCGAAAAAAAAATTAGCAGTTGTACTCTCCTACCCTTTAGTAGCAAAAGTATGTTATCTTGTTTTAGAATTTATCTTAAGTATTAATGTTGTCTCAGACCAATGACTATATATATCTATCTATCATTTAATTATTTTTTTTCTTATGTTCTTATTGACTATATACATTCTAAGTGACAGTCATAAATAACTGGCTGTTGTTTGCTAAAATTAATGGATGTGTAAGTGTAGAACCTGAAGAAGGATATATTAAAAGCAGTTGTTCACTATGATTATTTTTGTTCTGAATATAAAATAATTAGTTCCTTTTATAGACTGCGACAAACCAACAAAAAATCTTAATTTATCTGGGTATGATGAAGACCAATAAACAAAATAGGGGATATATATCTGTTTCAAAACAGCGTTTACTACGGAAGGTTTATTGTAGTGACAAATTGTTCGTTAATGCATAGAGTTGGCCTTAACTGCGTAATCACTTGGTCATCCTCAAGCCCTAGGATGCACCTATAATCGGTCTTACAGATAGGTTTCAAAGACGTGTTAACATCCACTTAGTGCCCTCCTCCAATGTGTTCCGCAGCAAAAGAGCTTGGTCTATATGATAGTTCAATCAGCTTCTAAAGTCATACAGGAATATGCTTTGAAGTCCTTACTTTCAGAGATCTATGAGTCTTCACTACACGTTTACTTAAAGTAGTGAATATACTAGGAGATTTTTCACTTGAAAATGCGAAGCCTTTATATACATGTAAGTCACTTTGTCTCTATATTTTCACTCAACAGATCCCGAGTTGCGTCACTGGCTTATTCACAATAAGCGTGCCTCATAGCTTGATAAATGAATAGTCTATTCCGACTGGGTCCTCGGCAGTGACGGCATTGGAGGGGAGTCACGAATAAAACAAGGTTCACCTTGGTCTAAAGTATTAGCTACGGATGTTAAAATATAGTAAAATTTAAAGATGACTTGATGTAATTCATTAGCTTCTAGGTGTTTTGTTCTTATGACAAGCAACGAACATCAACTTTATGAATCCGTATCTATTTTCTACAGTACATTACAAATTGCCTGACAGTTGTCCAACTAATTAAGTTAAGACTCTTGTCGTGTTAAAAATAAAAAAAACCACCTCTCTTATTTTTTCTTAAAGGTCAATCCCAACTGGGAATGCTGATTTGAAGTTTTGAGGATAAATTTAGTCGTGGAATTTCTTCACAAGAAAATGTAAATTATTGTGTTTAACACATAAGCCAACTTCGATATGTCTAATTTATATCTTGATGTGGTTCCCGTATGCCTCTTCGTTTTATCGTTTATCCTACCTCCTGCAAGCACTTCAGTAGGAGATCGGTCATATGTATTTCATAAATGCAGTAAGAATTGTTTAAACGAAATGTGTGAATCTTCTCTGCTGTCAAATAAACAAAACTATTGGGATGAATATTTCAACTCTTCACAGTCTGTAGTTTTTGAACACACTATTCTCTGGGATTGTAAATCGGAGTGTAAATATCGTTGTATGTGGAGCACTGTTTCTGCATTCGAAAGAGATGGTTTACCTGTTCCACAATTCAATGGAAAGGTGAGTTAACTGTTTCGTTTTTGTGTATTATAACGCTTTATTAGTGGCCATTTGTACGTTTATGGGGTATACAAGAACCTGCCTCTGCCGTCTTTTCTTTCGTAAACCTTATATTTATCTGCTTCATGTTTTATCGATTTTACAAATTTGTTCCATTCAATGCTCCAATGTATAAAACATGGGTTGTACAAACTCTAGTAAGTTCCATAACTTTAATACAATTCCCACTGCAGTTTTCTGTAAACGCATGGATATGGTCAATAGTGTTTCATACAAGGGATACATCATTCACTGAGGTAAGCTAAATTCTTACAAAACCACTCTGATGTTCTACAGAAAATGGATTATTTTAGCGCATTGGCATTTGTGGTTGCCTCAGTAATGGCAGTGCATCAGAGGATCTTTAATCCTAATCGACTAGTGACAGTGTTGTTTTCTTCCGTTCTACTTGCATTCTTTGCAAATCATGTAAATTACATGACCTATGTTAATTTTGACTATGGTTACAATATGACAGTTAATATTTCATTCGGTAAGTTTCTTATGAATAGAATACATTTTAAAATTAAATTCTCCTTAGTTTAAAGATATACATCGCCATACGAAGAGTATGTGGGATTATACAAATATAAGCCCAAGAAAATCCGGTAGTTTCATTCTTATCGTTATTATAACACAAACCTGGTACATTATGGACGCAAAAGGATGCACCATACACAATCTCATAATTTGTGCGATGACTCAGATGCTACCCGGACGCCAAAACTTAAGCAGGTGGTTGTCATTAGCGACCATTTCCCTATTCTTCAACCCATCCACGAGGTTGTGGGGTTGCTTTCCTACGGTTCCCGGTGCCCGAAACAGATTCATACGCCATTTGATCCGTTTTGATTCTGTAGCCCACACACATTATCGGTTTGGAAGTGGTCTAAGCAGACTAACTTGTCCATAAGTCGGGTTGTAAGCACCAGACGTCCGCATTCGCCCTTTCATTCTTGTGAGGAACACCTTCGCCGCTTGAAGGCAGTAAACAGAACTTACCTGGTAGAGTCTATGAATGCGTTTCATTGTAAATACCACCATTTTGCATCATGTTCTCATACTTTCTCCTCGGTAAAACAGTCAAAACTTCCTTTAGTAGTGTACTGTTACTTGTCCATTTGTGCATATCGGTAGTTTAGTGATACACGACTAATCTCATATTACAATATTTTTTAGTGCAACACGTTTTGTCATGAGCCCCTTATTCTCTTCTGTGTCTTCAATTATTTGCGAACTTTATGACATACCTATTTTATTATCTAGAGTTTTCGTAAAATGTTTCAGTCCGTCTATAAAATGGTTATGTTTATTATCATATTGGTCATGGATTTATGACTAATTTGTGTCACTCTGAAATTATAGACCATATACTCAGTTATCACTTTATCTACAGAATGTTTGATACCTAAGAAGTAGATTATATTTTCGGCTTTTAACCTAGTGTACAAACTTTTGAGTTTAGCTTGTATGATACTACAATGTAGAATCATAAAGTAACTGTATTCAGGGTGTGTTTTAGGTTACTTGAAACATGTTAATCATATGTTAGCAACTAAGATAACTCGAAAAATTATTATAGTCTTGACATTTTATACACACACCTAAATGAGTGGAACCCTGCGGTGTTTAAATAAATTATATAAACTAAACATAGTATGATTGTTTGATAGTGACCACCAGCAGTGGAATCCAGGATGCGCATTTCGTCCCATATGAGGCTTGTCAGCTAGATGTACCTGCAGTCCCCAGTCGTGAATGATGGTGTTCCCCATCGAGGCATCTGCACAAGGAGCCGACATGTCAACCTGAGACTGAGCGCTTTGGTCCAATCAATCGACGAGAAAGTCTAAATTGAATTAAACATAGTATATTTCTATAAGGTTACATGTCCGTGAAATCTCTATTAGCTTGGTATGTGAATATTGAAGAGGTGTGAATTACATCGTAACTAGAAGATGAACAGATTAACACAAAGCGCAGTAGAGAAGTGCATCAGTTCAAGCTGCAATATTTAAAAGCAGCATAATGAAAAAAGTGAGTAAAAGTAGGTTGATTTTGTAATTAAGTAAAAATTTGGGCTGCTTGTCGACAGCTAGAAACTCATTTCGCCTGGGATACACAGTAACAGTAATTTATTGTCTAAGACTGGTTAAATGAACACAGATTTGCACTTAAATAATACAATGTGCCCAATATTCCAGTTGAAATTTCTGCTATGTTGCATTGTTTATCTAAAGGTGTCTACAGTTATGTATGGGAAGCCAATGAGTATGGTTAATTCTCATTGCACACATCTTAGAATATATATGGTGAAAAGGAATTGAATTTTCTGAATAAAGTAAATTAGTTCAGTTTCAAAGCTTCCCAACCATCATAGGCATCTTAAGATGTACGCAAATTTAATAACTTTATATCTCTTTTCATTTATTTAAATAGGCGTTATCAATTGCTTCAGTTGGTTATTCTTTTCCATGTACATTTGTGATTATAAAAAGCAACCCTATGTGATTTACTGTTGGTTATCTGTAACATCTCTATCATTGTTTATGTTATTGGAATTATGGGATTTTGTACCTATTGTTTGGACGTTTGATTCACATGCCTTATGGCATGCTTCATCTGTATTCGTAATTATTCCATGGTACAAGTAAGTATAGTTTATAATGCAAGAATTAAGTTTGTTTTAAGCTTAGCCTTGTTTTGTACTCATTAGTATTGGTTTAATTTTTGTGTGATACAGTGTCAACTTCGTTACCCCATGGTTATCAGTTGGTTCTTCAGCTATAGTAGGATATAATTTACATATTCTTAGCTCATGGTTTTATATGTATGTGGATGCAATTTAAATTATGTAGAGTGCATGGTCTACAAAATTCGTTTTAAGGTTAAAGAGCATTTGTCTATCTGGTCTATAGCAAATGATATTAAATCTGTCAAAAGTTTTATCCTAGCATATGTATGTGTGGGCATTTATGTGTCACTTACTATGATACATCATGTATCTGAACACTATCACGCATACTTCATCTACGCTTATTTTCTATTAGCTGGAATTGTGGCAATAAGATCTACTAAGCTAAAGCTTGCATTCTGAAGGAACACCTTCACATTTTATTCTTCTCTGACTTTACATAGAATCAATATGATGGTTGTTAAGCATATTTTTCCTCTATTTAAATAATGTAACGTTTTATACTTCTTGTTGATGATGACTAGAAGTGGAATTTAGGATGTACATTTCGTCCTATTTGGGACTCGTCAGCAGGATGTACCTGTACCCCCAGCGAGTGATGGTCTGCTCTCACTGAGACTCGAACGGCTCACCCATCGTTTCTAATATCAAAGGATTATCCACTAGGCGACGACCGCCAGTGGCCTTCTGAGAACCCAATAAGTAGTACATCATTGAGTTCTTTGCATATTTAGACTAACATCAAGAGCTTATTATGATTTACTGCGGGTGTTACTATTAGTATTTGTATGATTTCACCTCAACTATTATACATATTAATTAGGTTGTATATAACTACTCACTCGATTCTTATTATATTTCACTTGACTGGTGTTATTTTCTACTCATCTAACCCACGTCAAGCACGTTGTGAGGTGTCACAACTATTCATTATCTGCCTAACACTTCTCTCAGCAGCATCCATTTTACTAATTCTTAAGTGTACCTATAGTGGAAGTGGTTTATGTTAATGCCTAAAACTCATAAACCTAGTACTGTTGAAATTCATAAACGTGGATACCCTATGACGCCAATAATTTTTTCCATAAACACCCCGAATTATGAGTTATCTAGATATTTAGGTTCAATATTATTTCTCACTAGGGTCGATGAGATTCTAGGATAATTAATTCATATGCAATAGAACTAAAGCTAGATGAAATTCAAATAGAAAAAGATGAAAAAATGATTATTTTTTATGTAATACGTTTATACTCCAATATCCTAATTAATGCAGCTCTGAAGGCAGTTGGAATGAACTGTGAACAGTGATTCTAGTCTGACAAATAGAAGAAAATTCTCGGTTAATGACATAATACAAGGTGTACAACTATGCCTAACATGCATTCTGTTCAAATTTCATGATAAAGCATACAAACAAACAAACACAAACAGGGTGATAATGGGATCACCAATATCCTCAATAGTTGCAAACATCTTTGGATAATTAAGAAATTATAACTCTTAGAACATATTATACTGCTCCTAGGTTACGATAATGTTATGTGGATGACACATTCATTGTGTTAAAATCTGAACATACCCCTAATTTCTTCACATATATAAACTCAGTGATAGATGAAATCGTATTCACTTTTCGGTTAGAAAATAAACAATATAACTGAGACATATTAGACTGTAAAGTCAAACGAGAACATGATGGCTAGTTAGATAGTAGTGTAACAACAGAAGACAAGGGCCAGGCAACAGATCGTTTATTAAGGAAAATCAACACATATCTATAGATTTTAATGTACATTATTGTAGATTATTGTTAGTAGAAAATACAGCCTTTTGATTGGTTGTTTCTCACAGTAAGTTAACCTTGCATCCCTTTGTGGCTGTGTCCGATCATCCATATGCTAACTGTATCCTCCTACGCAAAGCCTTTGTTCTCATTTTCTCACCACCAATATTGGGGACATAAACATTGACGTCAATTACTGTCTACCAACTTTGGCTAGCAGCCAGCTCTCACCACAGTAGCGTCTACAGAAAACCGACATATCTTAATCAATACTTAGGCTTTGATTCATCCCATCCAGAGTCGGTCAAGGTGGTTTTGAGTAAATGTCTATATAATCGGGCCGGGAACCAGATAAGTCAAAAGATTAAATAATAAAACCAAACAAATAAAAAACAGTAATAGAGAGTAACTACCCACCATATTTTATTCAAAAATATATGAAGACACAACGAAAATAAGAGTAATAGTGAAAATAAAGAAAATAATATAAAGCATGTACATCAAAGAAGCCCTACACAGGTTTTTTAATGAGGCTGGAATTAAGGTGGCATTTAAACCAACCAACCAACCAACTCTCAGACAAACTTTGTCGGTATAAGGACCTAAAAGATCCAATTAATTATTATTATTATTGTTCCCTTGGGTTCCTAGTGGAACATAGGGCTTCAACTGCACGTCTCCACTTGCTTCTGTCTTCTGCTGTTCTTTTCACTTGCATCCATGTTAATCCATACTGTTTCATCTCCTCCTCACACGATCTCCTCCATGTCACCCTTGGACGTCCCACTCGCCGCTTCCCTTTCGGGTTCCACTCGAGGGCTTGACGCGCGATGTCACTCAACGGCCTCCTCAGCGAGTGTCCAATCCATCTCCACTTCCTCCTGCATATTTGTTGGGCGATTGGTTCCTGTTTCGTTTGTTCCCATAGCTTCTTGTTTGTGATTCTTTCTGGCCATCTAATCTTCAGTATGGAGCGAAGACAGTTGTTGATAAAGGTCTGCAACCTGTTGAAAATATTCTTGGTGACCCGCCAAGTTTCTGATCCGTAAAGCAAAATTGACTTGACGTTTGTATTGAAAATCCGAATTTTGTTGTTGATGGTGAGTGACGAAGATTTCCAGATTGGTTTCAGGTTGATGAATGTGTTTCTCGCTTTCCCGATTCTCGATTTGACATCCTCGTCCGTTCCTCCTGTGGTTGAGACAATGCTCCCCAGATAAGTGAAAGAAGTAACCTCTTTCAAATCCCTCCCGTTGATGGTGATTGGCACTGGATGTTGCTGCTGCTGTTGTTGTTGGTTGGTTGGTTATTTTCATAACCTCCGTCTTGTCTATGTTCACCTGGAGTCCTGTCTTTGCTGCTTCTTCGACCAGTTTGTCGGTTTTCGCTTGTAAGTCTTCGATTTTGTGTGACATCAAACATAAATCATCCGCAAAATCCAGGTCTTCTAGGTTCTTCACATCGGTCCAGGATATCCCTGTCTTCTCGTTTCCCACTGTCTGACGCATAATCCAGTCCACCACAATTAGGAATATCATTGGTGATAATAAGCACCCTTGTCTGACTCCTGTGTTTACTCCAAACGCTTCGCTGAGTTTTCCGTTGTGGATCACTTGACATGTGCCGTTGTCGTACAGTTGTTGAATAAGGTTGATGAATATTTGCGGTACGCCGTAGTACTCGAGTAGTTTCCAAATTACTTCGCGGTCAACGCTGTCGAAGGCCTTCTCAAAGTCTATGAAGTTGAGGTAGAGATTTGATTGCCATTCCATGCTTTGTTCGATGATAATGCGTAGAGTTGCAATTTGGTCAGAACATGATTTGCCTTTCCTGAATCCAGCTTGTTCTGGTCGGAGTTCTGTATCCAGCGCGTCCTTGATTCTCTCCAGGATGATGCGACTCAGGATTTTACTTGGCGTCGACAGGAGCATGATTCCTCGCCAGTTCTTGCAGAGTCCCAGGTCGCCCTTCTTTGGTAGTTTCACCAGGTAACCTTTCCTCCAGTCAGTAGGCACCTTTCCCTCTTTCCAGATCTTTTGCAATAATGGAGTCAGCATATCTGCCGTCGTTTCTGGGTCCGCTTTCAGTGCTTCCGGGGGTATTCCATCTGGTCCAGCTGCTTTTCCAGCTTTCAGAAGCTTGATTGCATTCATGACTTCAGTTTTCGTTGGAGGATTGGTGTCAACTTGCAGTTGTGTACGTGCTGTTGTTGGTATTACTGGACGGGTTGTAGGTGGTGGTCGGTTCAAGAGTACTTTGAAGTGGTCCGCCCATTGTTTAATCTGTCTTTCTTCTTTGGTAATTGGGTTCCCCTGGCTGTCTTTTATAGGTTTCACTTGTGTTGATCTCTTCCCGGATAGAGACTTGGTTATCTGATATAGTGTCCTCAGGTCCCTTTTGCCTGCTGCCTTCTCAGCTTCAGTAGCCAGGTTGTCGTAGAATTGTCTTTTGTCCTTCCTGGCACTCTTCTTCACTTCTTTGTCCAGTGCTGTGTAAGTTGAGTTCAGCGTCTCTTTCTCTTGTCCATCTTTGCATTGAATCATTTTCTCTTTCACTTTTCTCCTCTCCTCTATTAGTTTCCAAGTGTCTGTTGAGAGCCATTCCTTGTCTTGTTTCTTCTTTCTTCCTAAAACCGTTGAGCACGTTTCGTTGAAAATTACCTTCAGAGAGTTCCAATGGTCTTCCACGGATGATTCCTCAGTGGTGCCACGTAGTGTTTCCTGCTTTGCTCTGACAGTTGCAGTGAAAATGTCCTGTGTGATTGTGTCCTTCAGTTTGTGAGTGTTGAACTTGCATTGTGGCCTATCCCCAGGTATCCTCGAGGCTTTCAGCTTCACCTTGAAAGTCCCTTGTACCAGATAGTGGTCTGAACCCACATCTGCTCCTCTCCTCGATCTTGTGTCCAGTAGGCTCCGTCTCCACTTCCTTGAGATTGAAATGAAGTCTATCTGGTTTTTGGTGTGTCCATCTGGTGAAATCCATGTTGCCTTGTGTATATCCCTGTGTTTGAACACACTGCCACCAATCACCAAATCATTGAAGGCGCAGAAGTCTGAGAAGAGTTCGCCATTTTCGTTCATTTCACCGAGGGCCTCACGACCCATGGTGAGTTCTCTTCCTGTATTGTCTCCTCCCAGTTTCGCATTCATGTCGCCCATCAGGATTTTGATATCGCTCTTTGGGACGTTGTCCATTACTGTTTGTAATTGACTGTAGAAATCCTCCTTCTTCTCATGTTCTGAGGCGTTTGTAGGCGCGTAGCACTGAATGATTGTAACCTTTTTTCCTTTTGAGTTGAACCTGGCTGTCATTATCCTGGAGGAGATTGGTTCCCACTGCATGAGAGCTTTAGCCGCTGTTGGTGACATCATGATGGCTACTCCCTCGGTGTGCTCGTGATTGTCCTCTGGGTGACCGGAGTAGATTATTGTCTCTCCAGTTGATAGTTGGCTCCTTCCACATCCGTTCCATCTGCTCTCGCAGATTCCCAACACTTCTATTCTATATCTCCTCATTTCTGCGGCTACCTGAGCAGCCTTCCCAGCTTCGTACATTGTACGAACATTCCACGTCCCCATCCTTATTTTCGCTTTCATCGAAAGAAGGCACATCGGCTGACTGGCTTCCCGAAGGCTTTCACCAGCCCGCGTCATTTCACTTCCCCGATTCCAGCGAAAAATAAGGTCACTATTTGTAATTTTAGAATTTTGAATATATTTGTGCGTTGAAGTTTTAGTAGCAATTTGGTTAAGTTTTGGGGGTGGAGTTGCTAGCACCACGCCCCAACCCTCCCTCTTTATCCGGGCTTGGGACCGGCTAGAATACTAGTGACCTAGTAATCTAGGCGAGGTTAAAAGATCCAATTAAGAAAAATAACAATTCTCCAAATACATCATATGATGACTGTGAAGCCAATTATATAGGTCAAACTAATAGATCGAGGTTAATTAGATTATCGGAACATAGAAACTTAGCTAGAACTAAAGTGATTGACTCTGCTTAGTTGATTGCAACTATTGCAATGCATTTACTTGTATGTAATCATACGATAGAGTGGAACATGATAAATTTGTTAGAAAGCAATATAGTTAGGTAGAGAGAGAGACGGTTATCTTTGTTCATCGAGTCAACACCAAACACCACCTATACCACTGGATATATAGAAAATTGTAATAAATAACAAGGGGTGAAATGGTAGGAGACAAAGACTTGGTTAAGGATTGTTTATTTGGAATTCGGTATTTCTATATGGCGAAATTATGTTTACCTTATCTTCAACGCACCATTTGCACAGATCTTCTTATTGTGGCACTTCTGGACTTCATATTGTGTGTGTGTTTCTTTGTGTTCTTTTCACGTCTGTTATGTATCTCCACAACGCTGTATCATTCGCTTTCCCTGACATCAGATCTATCTCCCTGCTATTTGATGCCTTTCATGACGACGAATGTCGCATTATATGCACTACTGATAAATCTAATCAGTAGCACTCGCTACAGGGGGAGAGAAAACAGATATAAATCAACATTATGAGGCCGTGTGGATACATTATGATATGATTATGAACAATAAATTGTATTAGAAATGTCATCCAGTTGTTAATACTGCATCATCATTGCATGTTATAAAAGATAAAATGATCTGATATGGGATACATATAGTTCATCCTACTACTTTATAAAATTTAAGTTGATCGAATTTCAAATTTACATTCATATTAGTCATGAGATTAGTAAAGAAATCTGGTGGGACAGGATTATTCCTACGAATAGCCTAGACGGATTGATAGACTAGTGTAGTTGGCAACAAATGATCATGTATAAAAGGAGTGTATGAAGAGTGAAGCTTTTGTACTTCTCACACTTTTTCTTATAAAAACTTTTCTTAATAGCCCTAATTTGTAGATCTGAATGCATCAACCGAAAAGTTATTGGTTTTCAATTGACTTCATACTTTTTATTAGACGTATGTTTTTATTCCTTTATGTTCCCAGTGGAACATAGGGGTTCAAGCTAGAGGCTTGAAGTTTCGGTAGCAGCGGTATTTATGTTTACGGGATGGGGTTGCTAGCCTCATGCCCGACCTTCTCTCTTTACCAGTCTTATTACTAGCTTAGTGAGGTAAAGGAGTGCGTCGCCCGAGGATCGAATCCCGGACCAAATGCGTGGTTGGTGAGCATTCTACCGCCGTGCCACCAACGCATTAGACGGGTATAAAAGATAATACAGGTATTTAGTAAAAAGATAATGTAAAAAGGTTATGCCTCTTTCTTACTCTTTTAATAAGTGTCAAACAGAACGTCTGTTTTTAACAGAAGATATCAATTGGACATGCTATAAGAGGATGTTCTTCAATTTCTTTTGTATTCTCAAGCTCCTTTAAAGTGTTGCTCGACTGAAACTCATTAGTTAAGTGAAATGTTTCTGTCGTAGACTTCTATGTTACTTATATACCGCTGAACTTTATTTACAAAGAGGTGAAGTCGATGCCTTAAGCAATTGTTTATATTATCAATGAATTACGTCATATTCTTTCTTCGCGGTTTAATTTAAAGTTTCAAGGGAAAACACTGTGTCACCAAATATTCTTTTCTTTCGTTGTACTATCGAACCACTTTCAGAATTCCACCCGGATTCTCCCTCCTACATTTATAAGCCTTACCAATTTTTTTGACGTATAAAGAGATACAATGTCATCCAGTATAAACTTAAGTTTCATATATTTATTCCCTGTAATGAATTTGAATAAAGCAAGAGCAGCAGTAGTTTTTGCAGGATAAAATGGTACCATCATCTATTTCGTTGGCCTCTCATTAACTGCTTACAGCCCAAAGACATTATTAAGTATATTTTCAGAAGAAATTGTAACATACTTGCAAAGAGTTCATTTTTAAACAAAAATCAATCAATATATGCGCACAATGTTAATAATAATAGGCAAAAGAGTTCAATTTTCCTCAAGTTTACCGAAGCAATCTCCATCAAGCGCTTGAAGCCCGATTTATGCCTTCAGAAAGAAGCGGTTATCAGTCTTTCCTCACCTTGGCAACTGGAAGTTTTCATCCTCTCTTTCTCATCTGATTACTTAACGCTGAAAGTTTCCATTGTGTATGATCATTATTGTTTAGGATAAAGTTTTTATTATTATTATTATTGTAGTTATTGTTAGAACTGTATGCATGTATTGATTTTTTGTCTAAAAATTAACTTCGTGCAAGTATGTTAAAATTGTTTCTGTAGATATACTTAATAATGACTTTGGCCTGTAAGCAGATGATGAGAAGCCAACGAAATAAATGATGGTATCATTTTATTCTGCAAAAACTACTGTTGGTCTTGCTCTATTCAAATAAACTTAAGTGTTAGTAAATATCCAGCTTAAGGATACTTTTTTGTCAACTTAGAGAAATTGTGATGAATAATATAAATATATTACCTTTTATATTGGGTTTATTCAGATATTACTTATGATAAACCACCTTTAAACAGGTTATCAGTGTTTCTCATGCTTTTTGAGAAGTTCAAACGATCTTCTCTTTTATCTATTGCAGTTATGTATTATGATCAATGTTGTAGTAGTGTAACAACAGAAGCCAAGGGCCAGGCAACAGATCGTTTATTAAGGAAAATCAACACATTTATAGGTTTTAATGTAAATTATTGTAGATTGTTCTTAGTAGAAAATACAGTCTTTTGATTGGTTGTTTCTCACAGAAAGTTAACCTTGCATCTCTTTGTAGCTGTGTCAGATCATCCATATGCTAACTGTATCCGCCTACGCAAAGCCCTTGTTCTCATTTTCTCACCACCGATATTGGGGACATAAACAGTGACGTCAATTACTGTCTACCAACTTTGGCTAGCAGCCAGCTCTCACCACAGTAGTAGTATTTTATTCCCTTACGTTTCTAGTGGAACATAGGACTTCGAGCTGCGGCCTTTCAGTCTTTCAATAGCATTGGTTTTATTTTTTTACTAGGTGGAGTTGGTAGCCTCACGCCCAACCTTCCCTCTTTATCGGTCTTACTACCAGCTTAGGAGTGTGCCCGGCCGGGGCTCGAACCCCGGACCACATACATCGTTGGCGAGCGTTCTACTGCTGAATCACCAACGCACACAGTGCTTAACTCGAGGCGTCGCTGAAACTCGCTCTCGACTCTCTGAGCTAAGATCATACATGTTGTAGTAGTATAGTTGAAAGTATTAATTAAATGCTGCTCATTTTGAAAATGTGTGATCATTGGTCTTATTGGCCATGATTGTGACTATCTTATTCTTCAATCAGTTATTTGAATTTATGCCAATTTACAGACAAATTCAGTCTTCAGATGACCTCTGTGATTCTTACTTTTTATTTGATGTTTTTTTACACCTGTTTATTATTTAGTTTTTTTTATCTTAATCCGTTATATTGCTTGTGTTTGTATCATTAATAATCTTCTTTTTTTTTTTAAAATTGCCTTTCAGATTTATAATCGCTGATTGTTTATATTTGCTGAAACAGAATCAACTAAAAAGTGATATGCAAAGTGAACTGGTCGATTATATAAGTGATGGTAAAATATATTAGTTGCCTCATGATAATATGCACTTATGTATTGAATAATATTTTCTAGTTTTGATTAATATGTTTACATTTGAAATCAAATAATTATTCTTAAGTGTTTTATTTTGTTTACAATTTCTTTGAAAGCTAATAAATTATAATCCTGTGATGTCTGTGTGCTGGTGTCTTTTCTTCTCTCGTGTCAATATCCTGGTTTTCAGGTGTTTTATGCGTCATATACACGTTAGCGGATTATTGTTAAGCGATGCAGCATTTCCAGCTTTGTAGTGATTTGCCTGTATGGATTATAAAACGGCTTGTTTTTATACTCGGTGACTATTCAAGTTTCCAGCGATCGATAGTACACACTGAAATTTCGCTAGTCATAGGAGTTTTCTTCATTGTTTATTTTGTACTTCAAACTGGAGGCGTAGAACTTAAGTTATTATTTTTGTGAGTAACTTCACTGAATAATCGATATTTGACTTGACTTACAATGTTTAGAAGAGTGTAAACAATTAGCTCATTTGTTGTTATTATTGCTAATTAACAACAATCTGACTATTGATTACATTTCGTGAATTTTGTTTGTACACTTCGGCAACTTGGAAAACATTTCCACCGACGTGTTTATCATGTTTTCGTCCAAAACTAGGCGATTACAAATCTGTTAATCAATGATTTGAAAACTGATAAGTTTTGTTACTCCTAGTAAGTTTAAAAATAAACAACGATTTTGAATTCATAAATTCCGTAAATACCAAGCGTCGAATATTACAAGCAGCATAGTATTCCTACCCATGTTCACCACCATCTTATCACTGCAAAGTCAGTCATCAACCACTTGACTCTGGCAATCCTATCAACTAAGTCGTCTGTAGTGCAAATCATCAAGAAATGATCCGAAACGCAGAGAAAATCGCACACTAGCGCCGCGTGCTGGTAAGAACGAGGACCCAAGGTCAAGGATTATATTTACAACCAATCATATTACAATTGGGTGAGAGGTGGAGAATCTTCCCATTAGTAGTCCGTCGCGTCGTCTTGGCAGACCAATCCATGCACACCGTGCAGCTGACCTGAAATCAGACAAGCATACAGTTGGAACATAAAGAAAACGTCTGACTCAGCAACCCGTGCAGTCTGTGTCCTGAAATTTGTTTCGACCTTGGTTGCTCATCTAAACAACTAGGTACTGGTGCGTGTAGTGTATGTGCCAATAGATTCTGTAGGATTCGGAAGGTTACTTCTAGGTGTCAAGATTTTCTGAAGTAGATCCCTTTATATAATTAGTATTTCTGATATGCAATCAGACCAATATATATTAATTTGAGATTGTCGTGTCTGCATATCGGAATAATCCAACTAGCAACTCTTACTGGGAAAAATGTTACTGCGGGTAGTATCGTTCCAAACATGTTGTTCGAACAGTGATTATACTAGAAGCAGACGTCATCATAGTGTAAGTCACACAATGTTGAGGGTCTGCGGGCAAAGTCGTACTTCTAGAGAGTAGGGATGTAACAGCATTGTGGTGTTTCCTTATGATGAAAATAAGGCAATTATGTCGCCTTTCCGCTCTAGTTAGGAGGAGGGTAGAATAGGTCAACCTGTGGAAAGTTTACGGTCCATCTTTTATTGTGATGGTGCGTAGTCGTCGGTGAGATGCTTAAAATGGGTCTTGTATGGCCGGCCAAACTAAGTTATCTCCCGGACCCTGAGGTCACGCGACATTAACACTATGTTCCTTGTACTTCAAGAAAAAGTCATTCCCCACGGTGTGTGCGTAGCGAACTGATCACTTCTAGGCATCTTCATCGTCACCTATACCTTATTGCCTTCCTCCTACTGTTAGTATTTATCCACAGGTAAATCCTTCACATTCTCTGCAACCATTTGCGGTAGTTGCAGCCAAAGGAACACTGTTAATGATCTGTTAACTTCAAATTGTAGCTATCAATGCCAGAATCATTTGCTGAATCAGATAGCAGTACTCACTAGCCGGCACTCCGACATCTTGTGACGTGGACTGATTGCATGTTAGGGAAACACATTCAAGCCCGAGTGCGGTTATTTACTAAACGCCATCCAGCCAAGAATGTGAATCTGCAAAATTCTACATAAAGGTGTCCTGAGAATCTTCAGCTAGTTAGCGAGAACATGCTTTTTTGGGAATGGCGTTAAGTGGTGGGACAGGAAAATCCCTGTTTGTTCAGTTCCCATTAGACGGTAGCACGTTTACTGTCCAGTTGAAGAGATATGTTTGAAGATGGAGAGATTGTGGTAACCGTCGAAGTTGTTTCATAGTCTCCACTTGTACTCTTAAGAGATGAAAGGATGTCGACGTCCTCGTGATATGCGCTGTATATAAGCGCAAGTTTCTATTCTGCGACTCCCAAAGTATCAGTTCTACTGAGATCAAAGAGAAATCAACTGTCTAAAATACGAGGTGTATTTCAGGGTCAAAATCGTAGTGCGATAATGACTACATAGCTAGCTAGTTTTTTTTTAATTTTGGTTACAGCTTGATGCCACACCGTATTTTCAGTACAAGTATGGAATTTTCAGCATGGATATCGGTAGCCCAAATTTTGCAGGCCGACCATAGATATCGGGTGTGCGCCGGCAGGGGCTCGAACCTCGGACCATATGCATGGTCGGCGAGAGTCCTAACCACTGTGCCACGCGTGACCGACCGTAACAAGACAGTGTGTCATATGGGGTGGATGCTTAACCATGAAAATCCAACGTAACAACTCAAATAGAGCGGTGAAGGTCAGTATCCGATACTGAATGAAGGGTGCTGTAGACGGCTGAAATTATCCCGCATGCTCAAGGTCATTGATGGAGTGAGACGCTCAAAGGTCATTTTCGTCCATGTTAGTCGGTTATGTTGGATTGCGGTTCCATAGCCGTTCGTTTACACATTGGTTTTATGTTCTGTTGGCATTTATAGGTGATTCCCATGTACTGATAGCATTATTTTGTAAAATAGTACTGTTCTTCACACGAAAATAGCCACATTTTGACGTAGTCTTCATTGAATGACACTATGTCGAAAGCTGCAGCTTCTACAAGAAATAAACTGTTTGTGTAGATGACATTACCCCCCAACTACCCCATCTTCTTCATTGTAGAGATGTTTTGACGCATTCAGCATGAAACACTAATCATTACAACCAATATGCTAAGTGTGTCGCAGTCGGATTAAATGACGCAGACACCAACATAACTAGCCAGGAAATGAGAATTCCTATCAATCCAGAAAACATACAACAAAATTTTATTAAAAACTATTGACAAAACAAATTTGCCGAGCGAAATTTCAACCAACATGCCGGATAAGTCCAGCCCTGTAGACTAATATCTTTGGGAAATTATTTGCCACTACATATCCCAAATCCAATATCATTTCTAAGAGCTAATGTAAACCACATTGATTTCTTTGTGCTCGCTTATTGGTTCTATGATAAAGGCTCCTGGTATTCCGTGGTCTTCTGCGTAGTTCCTCCCGCCATTTGACTGTCGTAGCTTTAGTTGACTCCGAAAGAAGTGTTGGGGGGACTAATTATATGTGGTAGGCGGTGTCTTAAGACCACTTCCCTTCTGTGAATGGAGTTGGTCTTTTCACCAGTTAGCCGACCGGTTTGGTCGAAAGGAGTTGATGATAATAATAGATATAATTAGTGTAGATTATGTAGACTCAGAAGAGAGAAGACCTACAAACAGATATTTAATGAAATTTGAAATATATAATTCAATAATAATATAAGGGAATCGACAGATAGGGCAACCAGAAGAATATAACAATGGAGAATGGACAGCAGCAACAGGATGGCAATCTCAAAGCGAAAAGAAGGTGGAGCTCAGTCGGATCTTTGCTCTATAGTGAGCCATCCTTCGTGGATTGCAACTAGTAAAACAATAAGTACTTAATGGCAGAATGCATTTGCTTGGGTGATATTGATCGTTAGTGGTCTTGTAGGCAGTACATGGTACTTTGCAGTTTTTCAGGTTAGAAGTCATACCATCCATCAGTGCTCAATGTTCTAGAGCTTTTAGGTCTACCTGTAACCTATAAAAGTCTTTAAAGCACTTTATTGCTCTCCGAGTGTTAACATAGTCAGCTCAATAAAGAGCCGGGAAGTTTAGACGACATGGCAGGTCTATGATAAAAATCTGTGATATCAGTGGCTTTAGGGTTGGACTCCAAGATACTCCCAATGAAGAACTGTGTCACGATGATTGAACACGGTTGACTTCGGTACGGAATTCCCTTCCGTGTGAAAATTCCTGTAACCATCACGAAGGCGGACCACCAATATCCGCCTGACTTATTTGTGAAGGAGTAGGTCACGCTGAACTGTGTCAAATCCCTTCACGAAGTCGGGTAAGATAACGTGGACTGGAGTATTCATAACTCATCATGACGCCCAATCGTTCCAAGCTGATAGTGGGCTTGTTATACAGGATCTACCTCTCATGAAAACATGTTGTCTACTATTCTGTCAGGGTGTTCCCTGATATGGTTATCACTTGTACTTTACATCACGTTTGACACCGGTGGGAATAGGGCTACTGGTCTACAACTGGCTGCAATTCGCCTATCCCCACTTTTGAAAATAGCAGAACGGATGGCTCTCTTCCACTGCCTTGTCAGTTTTCCTAGAGCCGCTGAGTGTCGGAACAGGCCGCAAAAGAGCCTACAGAAAGCTTAAGCACAATGTGAAGTAGCGAAGTAGTCGTTACGGCTTGTACCGGTATCCTCACAAAGCTATTTATCTGCCCATCAAAGGCTAAAATGGATGTTTCAGTCATTTCCGAACTAGCGAGGTATTGGCTGTCTTGACCTACTAAGGCGCTAGTCCCCTGGTTGGTAGGTTGTCCCTCAGACATGAATCAGTACAAACCTTTCGGGTTTGACAGGAGTTTTCTGTCAAGTTTTGCGTGAAATGGCCTCCTGTCACTCCTGGCCCTAGTGTTGCATCGGCTCCTGATTTCCACTGATGCCTCGTGGTCAGCCTTACTCTTGGAGAGTCTTCATGTAGATCAAGTATTCCGCTTTACTTGCAGAATACGGTGCTTACCTCCCTTCAGCCATGATGAAATTTTCGTTGGCTGTGCTGTGACTAGAGCGATGGTATCTGAGATTGCCGCGTGAATAATCCCTTTCACCGCTTCCCAGTGTTATTTCAGCGACGACTCAGCCCATTCTATGTGCCATTCTGCGTCAGACTAAAACTTTCGTATTCCGGCGAGGTCAGCCTTG